GGTTGATCTCCAATATTTTGATCATTTTGGGGAACATGTAGTGAGTTCACTTGTTCACTTTGAATAGGAGGTGTGAAACTAGATACTTCAATATGAACATTTTCGTGCCCATCGCTTGGCGTTTGGTTACTTTGATCGTGAGCGGTTTCTTGACTCATGCTACAATAATAGAAATTCCTTCGTTAGGATTCTTGACGAGTTGACAACGGATATTTATTCAGACTATATCGATGTTTAAGTCACTAATCGTGTCATAACAATGCGTCACTTCATTCAACAAGATTGAGCTATCCATAGCTTCTAGCAAGTAGGTTCCTTTGAATTTGACCGAACAGATTGTCAATACATAGTAAAGGGTAGCGATTCTTGATCGTCAGTTTGTCTGTCTTAACAGAGATGTGGTAGTATCCTTGACCGTAAGTTAATCTTAGAGAGCACAATGGATTCTCTAAGCTGATCAAATAAGTCATAGATACGAAATAAGGATAACGTCAATTTCCTTGTATGATATTTCAACAAAGTTTTGCAAGGAATTGTTGTTGAATAAACTATTTCGATTCGTATAATATAATCGCATATTTGCGTTGTAATGATTTAGACATCAGAATGAGATACTTTTAGACAACAGAGTTTATTGATTCTAAACGTTCGTGTTTAAATCAGCAATCCGATCGTCTTCAGTCTACATGAGGATCTTTGACAGCAGCTTCGCGAATGTTATTCAACATTAGGCGTTTCTTCATAGTCGTGTTACTTCTATGCAACTTTGCGAGATAGATCAGCTTCCTCAACCGCGATGTTGATAACGTATCACAATTTTTTTCTTTTTATTCTTTCGTCTCTTCACCGAGTACAAAAAATCTACTTGAGTCTATGCTCAATATAATTTCAATACTAACAATTATTATCTAATGAGAATTTTAACAAAGTCAATATTTATCTAATAAATTCTCATACCTTTCCTGGAGCAGAGGGATGCGAGAGTCGTGGATGTGACTGACACATTATTTTTTTTTAATTCAAATTTTGATCCGAAGATCGGTTTTAAAACCATTTGCTCCGATACCAAACTGTAACACCCTAATCCGTCCAGGTCTGCAACCCCATTCGGACTAAAGTATTTAACTTGGTAATCGTAAAAATTTAAAACTTTTCAAACACACTTGATTAATCCCAATAATATTTTTCATAACATATACAGTACGGAGTATTTAACAATATTGCGGAAGCGATTTTAATATTGACATATCATAAATTGTTTCAAAACTTGTCACATCCATCCCGACAATCTCGCCCCATCTGCCTCCAGGATCACATTGTGCTTTCTGCTTACCTGCGTGTAGCAAATAAAACACACTACACGCTCCGCGGTAAAGCTGAGTAAGCATATCTAATGCGTCGAACATCCATATAAACTGAATCTAAATTCATAATCAAATCATTTGATATCATGCACACAATGTTCATTTCAGACATTCACAGTTTTGGTATT